TATATATATATATATATATATACATGTGTGTGTGTGTGTGTGTGTGTGTGTGTGTGTGAGTGTGTGGGAAATAACTTAACAATTTAAAATAGAAATAGTTTTTCAGTTAAGAATTTCTTTTGTTTTGTCTCGCATTTAGAACTTGCAAATCAAGTTTTGTCATTTTAATTACAGAACATACACAAATAAGGAATGTGTGAAAAAATAATCCAAAATTATTGGGCTTATATAAATTTCCTTGTTTCACACAAAAGGGCACAAACATGCCATATTCAATCAAGAAAGCAAATTCTTTTTTTTTCTCTTAAAGTGGCGATGTTTTCTTCAATAAGCCTAAATCATTCCTTAAAACTATCATTCGTCAAAAACATCATGTGAACAAAAAAAAGAAATATTGTGTTGAAAGAAGCATACATATATTTTTTAATTTTGAAAAACTTTTTGAAGAATTTCAACACTTGAATATCTTTACTTAACCATCAAATTTGAAATTTTATCTAAATTTTACTAGTAGAGCAACAAGTACACAAATCTAATGTCAATTCGTTTTGAATTCAATGGAGAACATGCGACTGTATGTATCATGTGACTGCCGTGAATGTAGCCCATTGTTTTCAGCAAACGATACAAATGTATGTAAGTATCAGCAATAATTAACATATCGGATTATATAAATAGACATAACAGATTGCTCAAAAAATTAAAATATACAAACACTTTTTTTCACAAGAATATCAACAAATATTGAGGATTATTTCAATAAAAGTTTGCTACATACAATATATATATATATATATATATATATATATATATATATATATATATATATATATATTTAAAAAAATCAAGGCATTAAAACAACTTCCTTTAAAGTCGGTTCAAATTTATATAAATACTGATGAAAAATTTCGAATTTACACTATGGACTTTTAAGGTATCCGACTACGTTCGGAACCGTGTTTTTAATAGAGCGTATAAATGGATAATTTTCGTGATATTTAGTATCACTTAGATTAGAATACATACATAGAATTGTTTTAAGGACATTTTGACAAAAAAATCTATTTAAATACAATATTTTGGCAAAAAATTAACTTAGAATAACCTTTTTTTAAAATGTTCTCCTTTTATAAATTGCTTCTAAAATAGTAATATTTAGCTTATATAAAGTAAACACTTCTCCAGAGAGTCTGAACTATTTTTTTTAAAAAATTCACATTATTTTCAAAGTTACAACCAATTGAAATAATTATCGCCGCTTTGTTTCTTAAAATTTCACCCCTCTGTTGTCGTAAAACATGGATAAACCCACTTCTAAGTTATATATTTCAAAAATTCTACTTGAGCCTCTGTACGGAGGTCTGTGCTATATACAGGCAAACTGTTATTATAATAGAAGCATTTTTCACAAAAGGTGAATATTTTGAAAATTAGTCATTCTATGTTCATTTTTTGTCAAAATATTGTACTTAAATAATTTTTGTATAGCAATAATATTCTTTAAACAATTTTATATGCATTTTCTAATCTAAGTGACACTAAATATCATAAATATTAGCATGCACTTTTGCAAAATCACCGTTCCGAACGTAGTCGGATACCTTAAATAGTTAACACAAGATTATGGTTTTACGAATGGCATTTTTCAAAAATAATGACTTCCAACCTAAGAGAAAAAAGAATGTGAAACTAACTGCAGACGTTGTACAGGTAACGATCATTTGAAATCACTAAATCGATATCCACGATAATACTGTGATAAAACAGCTCGATGTATTTTTTTTTTCTTTAAAAGTAGTCGTGATAGATCGATAATGGCCAATCTAGCGTGATAGTCAAGCTATATCGTGATGCATAGCTTAACAAACTGCAATGATCCTAAGATACAAGAATGCGCATTTCAGTTTGCACAATAACAGTGTTTGCGTAATACGCAGGTTGGGGACAAAACCTCTCATCTTCGTCTAGGAACAAAAAAAGTTAACGTGGATTTTCATAGATGATACTGATTTAGCCATTTTGGTTTCGAAGTTTTGTAATCTTGGTTTATACTGATAAATAGTTTGCCAACGTCACACTTTGAAGCAACACGACGGCTATTGGCAATGGACTTCATAACTTTGAACGACGGTCAAGTGACATTTGTTACCCATCTACAAACATCCACATTAAGCAAACGTGACGACTTCGGAGCCTCTACGGATTGAATGCACACCACGTGGACTCCCCACCGTGGTTTGTAAAAGACGATTTCTCTATGAAAAAAATCACCCAGAAAACGATTTTAGAAGTAAAACTGCAGAGGGCTGTCCCGCAAAGTTTCCTTTCAGAAATAACTTGGGGTTTTCTTTCACGTTTAAGGCTACTTTCGGCTGATGTTAAAGAATAGGACCCAAATGATGAACATTTTTTCATTTCTAAAAGTACTCAAACATTAATATTATATATTCTGGCTTCACTATCCTGTAGAGCAGTGATTCGCAACTCCCAGTCCGCGGAGCGGTACAGGTCCGTGGATCAAATGGTGCCGGGCCGCCTAAAGAACATTAAACTATTGCCATTTTATTTAAAGTGGGTCATTTCTCTCGGATTTGTGCAACTTTCTACGGAAATTACTTTATATTCAACGTTAAATCACTTTTATTCATTTTGGGGTGTAACTACATTTTATTCTGAAGGCATATTTAAATGTAACTAAATTGTTAAATCAAAACAATCCCACCCTCAGCGGGCCGCGGTAAAATTATCAAACGCTGATCGGTCCGCAGGTATAAAAGGTTGCGGAACACTGCAGTAGGGAATCACTTATTTTATCATACTACTCATTTTTATGCGATTTGACACATTTTTTCTTTTATAAAATGTGTTTCGCGTTTTTTCTCCTATACTATAATGCTAAATGAGCTATTCCTTTACACGTTAAATGGAAAAACTAATTATTTATAAAAATATTCTGAGAAATTTTAAAACACTATTCTATAAGCACAAATGCATGAGTTACAATGTCACAAACTTTTATAAAAACTGAAGCATTTTTTCTGTCCAAAAATGTGCTCCGCGCTAAGGTCACGCTCTTGTACATATGGCGAAAACAACCTTAAATGAAAACTTATCTGCCACCTTTTTGTAGTAGAAACGTAATATATAGATGAACTTTTGTATGTTTTTTTTTCAATGGACATTTTTTTGCCCATAAGCCTTTAAAGACACGGCAAGTCCCCAAAGTGTGAAAGCCATTTGAGTGGCAGCCCTGTCTAGTAGCGGATCTCGCTACCAAATTTTGACGCTTGAATTAGTTTTAATTCATGCTTTCGTCGGATGCAATATATTACAAAATACGCATTAATTTCATTTTGTCAAGAATACCAGAACCAAATTGATACTCAAGGTATTTTTATATGCCACACAATCAATCATATGACATGCGTGCCTACAATTTTCGCATCCAGAAAATCTATCTATTGGGATCGAACCCGCAACCTTAGGATTACGGGGCGGGCACGCTGCCTCTAAGCCACCGAGCCGATAGAATTCGAAGGAATTTGAGCGGTGAATAAGAGTTAGATGATATTTGCATGTCCTGGGCGAGATAGTAGTTATTCTAGCAGCTAGATAGCATTTTTTTTTTGCCTACACCCAGGCGTTCACCCTATTAAAATAGCTCATATAGTGTTTATTCATGTTTCATTTCGAATAAACCGGCGAGTGAGTGAGTGAGTGAATATTAACATCGCACTTTTCAGCTACACGAGGGCTTTTGGCGACGGACCTTGTAATTTTTAACCATGGTCAAGTGACGAGGACGACACCTGAGTTGGCACCCCATCACTTAACTTCCACACCAACGGGCGTACGTTTGAGCTCTCGACAGACTTAACGTGCATCGCTCCCCTACATGGCGGGTCTTCAGTGGTACTGGTCTTGAACTCATGCCACACCAGCCACCAGTCCGTTGCCTTGACCATAAGGCTACCGCCACCTTGGCGAGCTATTGGCGAAGCAACACGATGACTCAAATTTTCAACAGCGATCAAGTAAAGAGGTCGATACCAGTGAGTTGGCACCCCTGTTTCAAAACTTCCACACTCGTCAACGTGAAAACTTTTAAGTCTTGACAGGCTTAACCAGCATCAACATCTCTATAAAGCAGGTCTTTTAGAGGCATCAGGAAGCGAACCCGCGATTCAATATATAAAACCCTGGTCACGAGATCGTGACCATTATCACTTGACTACCATGGTCACCAGTATTTCAAATATGAAAATAAAGAAACAACCCGTTTAATTATTTCATTTTGCACTTAGAAAATAAATTTCTATTTTATTTTCAATCTGCAAACATACAAAGTCGTTCCGCAAGTTTAAAATTGCTTAAAAGTGAACTACAACACTTGGAATGTTAAGAGGTATGATGAATGAATTATAAAATTGTTTTCTAAGCGAAAACAACTAAACAAAGAATTCACTCAGAACAAAAGGAAATAAAATTTCTTCCACACGCACACACTTTTATTTGACACCCTTTCTAGAAAGATGTGAAACATACATAGTCTGTTTTAACACAAAGAATAACGCTCGAAAACATTGACTTTCAAAAGAAGTCCTGCCAAGTATTAAAAATCGTTTTGGAAAACTTTTTTGCCTCTCATAATGGTATTTACAAGTGAGGAAAAAAAAAAGGTTTCAAAAAAACTGTTTACGTGTCAGTGCTTACAAATTAAAACAAAATTTAATATGAGTTTTTAAGATAAGTAATTTTTAAAAGGAAAAAAAAATAAGTCAATTCCTACTTAGGTCAACAAAGAAAAATTTTATATTTTAGTTACTTTTTATAAAATAATTACAATTAATATAAATATGTATATACGGCAGAGCCATACTATCAAGTGGCAACTATGGCGACTATTATTTTTGTTTGTTACTATTTATCTATTATAATTAAATTCAATTATTCCAATAAAATAGTATAGTAAAAAGAAATCATATTCTCAGAAAATAGGCCATCCCAGGAGGGATTCGAACCCACGACCATTGGATTAGAAGTCCAACGCGCTATCCATTGTCTACAGGGACACAACGAGCTATTTTCCTTTTAAAAAACTGAATTAAAATCAAATGTCATCCACTACAAGTTTAAAAAAAATGTATTTTAACGTCAATGGATGAATAAAAAGTATTTTATTAACGATTAAAAATTTGAACAGAATATATATATATATATATATATATATAAGGCCAGGAATTTTTCTTTATACTATGTGCCTCCTTCCTACTTTTAGTTATCTTAGGTATATAACTATATGTCTATTTTTATATTTTTGTTTATGTATTTGTGTATATGTATATATATATATATGTATAAATTTATATATATGTGTATGTATATGATTATATATTGAAAAAATTCTTTTATATTGGATTATATATATATATATATATACATACATACATAGAGAGGGTGTGAACTATAATAGTAGGAATTGAAAAGTAAATAAAGCATCATTGGAGATCATATATATATAACAGTTAAAATAATTAAAAGAATCCGAGAGAGAGAGAGAAATTCCATTTCAAAATCGATTGAAAACAATATCTTTCCCAAATAATCATTATTCCAACTAAGCAAAAGATTTCGATTAAATGTTTGAAGAATTAAAAACTGAACAGTAATTTTCGAACGATAACAGAAGACGGATAAATCATGAGCAAACATCACGATTACCATATTTTGAGAAGTGAAATTTAATTACGAAGAATATTTACATTCTATACATCATTCTTCTTATAAATCAAGAAGATTTATTTTAACAACTCGATATTCCGTTCGAAACGAAAGGCAATTTAAATTAAATTATGATTTCTAAGCTTCGTGAAACATCAAAAGCATTTCATTACTAATCTAATTTAAAACGATAAGAATTGATTCATTTCTACAACAGGCATTTCACTTAATACAAAATAAATATTTGCACATCTAATATTTTAACAGTATTATTGAAAATAATGGGATCTCTCGGAACAAACCTGTTAATTCTAAAAATATTTGATTAAGATACAACATATAATGAAAGTTCTACAATTTTAAGGAATCTGTCAACAGAAACGCAGTCGAAAGTACAAAGTAAAAACTTGATTTTATATCGTAAAAAGATATTCGTCTATCTAATATTTAAACAACCCCCCACATACATATGAGTGTGTTTTTCAAATACTACATATGAAGCAAATTATATACATACATACGGAGAGACAGATTTAGTTGAAATCTCTCTTGCTTACTTTAAATATTTTGGGATTTAATAAATTTCAAAAATCGGAACCCCTTTTTTTCATTCACTCTAATTGTAACCTGTTCTTTTCTCAGAGTGATGTCACTGAATTATAAATATCATACCAATGAAGTAACATGGAAAGTTATAGAATGTTCTTTTTAACAAGCTTTTAATAGTTTCACCTGTAAGTAACAAAATATTTTAACTCGATTTTTACTTTCAAAGGTCAGATAAGTTCTAAATTTTGCACACTTGTCAAGGACGGATGACAGTGCAATGAATTAATGATTTTGTTCCATTATCCTGATTAGGATCAACAGGATTAACGATTTCTCATTTCCAGATTTAACGACTAATTCCAGATCCCTTTTCTCCAGATTTGGCGACTAAAAGATTAAGTTACAACCCTAAAGCGAAAACGCTCATGGTTATTACAAATACACAATAAATAAAAAAGATTAATTCATAAAAAAGATTAATTCATCAATGAATAAATAATAGTTTAAAATTCATCAATGAATAAATAATAGTTTGAAAAACTATAAAACACTCTTTTGTAGTTGATCGAACTAAAAAATGAAAAATAAACTATAATCTTAAAAAAACTAAAAAACACGCTTTAATAGTTAATCAAATTAAAAAGTAAAAAATAATTTTTGATATAAGAATAAAATGATTAACGAGAAAAAATTAATGTCATTGTGGTAAAAACGTTGGATGCTCGATAACAATTGTTATAATTTCTTACTATAGTCCTATTCCTAATGCAGAGTTAGTGTAAAAATGTAGTACAAAGCAACCCAAGCTTTTACCACAATGACATTAATTTTTTAGTTAATCATTTTATTCTTATATTAAGAATTATGTTTTACTTTTTAGTTCGATTAATAATAAAAGCGTGATTTTTAGTCCTTTAAATCTATAATTTATTTTAAATTTTTTTAGTTCGATCTACAATAAGAGCGTGTGTTTTTTTTTTAGTTTTTTAAAATTATCATTCATTCATTGATAAATTAATCCTAAATGTGCCATTTTTTAGAATCTGTAATATCCACTGGCATCCTATCAATGCGCCGATTCGGCCTGGTTTGCAAAATGTAGGATCAACCAATTGAAAGAAATCTGGAAGAGTTAAGTGTAAAATATTTAATGCGAAAGAATGTATAAAAGTCAATGATATTTTTCACTAAAAAGATCTCTATTTGTATTAACCATGAGCGTTATCGCTTTAGTGTTGTAACTTAATCTTTTAGTCGCAAAATTTGGAAATGGGAAATCGTTAGCCCTGATAATCCTAATCACGACAATGGAACAAAATTGTTAGATTATTATATTGTCATCGGTCCTTGACAAGTGTGCAAAATTTCGAATTTATCTGACTTTTTAAAGTGGGTAAAAATCGTCTTCAAAGATTCCATTACATACAGGAGAAGCTAAAAAAAGCGGGTTAAAAAAAAAGTTTCACACACACGCACGTACTTCAGCTCCTAAACTTGTATTACAGTTTTAGTAATCGCAATGTTTCTTTCAATTTAATTTCATAATAGATTGTGTAATGTTTTTCATTTTTACTTATGTATTCAACTTTTTACCTTTCATGGAATATTCTATGTATTTACTTACTCAGAAAAGTAGAAGCAATAGGGAGAGAGCGAAAAATTGACATACTAGAAAAGCCATTCAACCTTGCTATTCAGTTCAAAGCCTGAATTTACAATTCGAACTACTGGGTATGTACTACATCTAATAATTTAGACTACTAAATCTTACTTAATTTGTTTAATTCTCATATATTATATAATATAATAGACAAAACACATACATATGAAATAAAAAAGAAATACACTTAACTCCTGCAAAGATGGAAATATATTTAAAGCATTGGAAAATACACTGAAAAGATATTGTGTACTAAAACCAATTGGTTTTTATATTCAAGAGCTTCAATTAATCCTACCTCTTAACAATTATTGTGTTAAAAAAATGTCCCCTTTTTTTCATTGAATTTTAAACTTTATTATAAAAATAGAGATGACTATTTTAAATATTATATTAACTAATAAAACTTTTTACAATTTATTATGATCAGATACATATGTTATAATTTTTATGAATGCAGATAGTGTCAAACCGGACCAGTAGTTCTGAACTTTTAAGTTAAAAAACAATCTTTCCCATAAGTACTTTTATATTGAAAAACAATTATGCTTTTCTTTTTCTTTTTACAACAATTAAAATTTTAAAAGAACAAAGTAATTTGAAAGCATAATTTCCTACTAAATCATTAGATCAGATAACCTCTAGCATGGATTCTATAGTAACAAGAATATAAAGAAACAGATTTGTATAAAAGAGAAAAAAAAAAAGAAACTCCTTAAACAACAATCACATAATCATAATGAATGAATTTATCAATAAAGGTAACTAATCATAAATGAAAATTTTCATTTCCACTTATTGATAGACATATATAATGAAAACTGAAAGATTATCATAGTAAACACCAAAGAAGGAAAAAAAAAAGAACCCTCATTGTTAAAAGTTTTATGAAAAGCTGCAGACAACAATAGTAGGATGTTCACACAAATCAAAAACCATCTCCAGTCTGGATAAAACCTCCACCAAACGTCTTCCAGGGAGACCTGTTGGTGAACTTTTCGAAAGAGCTTTTAATCGATTAAAATACCTTGCAATCGTAATCGCTTTTCCGTTGTATTTATAGATCCTTTGTTTGAATTCAAATGAAAAAAAAATCCTCGTTACTGATGATTCGGGAGGTTGAAAATCAATTTGCGGAAGAGCTCCAGATGCTAGGAACAAAGCGACATATTAAAAGGAAGGATTTTATGGTTGGGCTGTTCCATTGTGGAATCGAATTTTTCGTTTGTATTTCCGAGATTTGCTTTGAGTTATCCAAACGAAAGGGCGGCAAGATCAAAAGCTCAGAAGGGAATAATAAAAGATGAGACTGGAGAGATATCGAGCATCTTTTAAGAGTACTTGGAAGTATGATGGATGTTTTCGAATTTTGTTAAGTGTAACGGTTATCAAGATACAGTTTAGAAGAAAAAAGAAAATGGTGAAAACACACAATAAACATTTCTTTCATTATTATAACATTTTACAAAATTTTTTAAAGAAAAGAATATTATTTTTCTTCATTTAGATTTATCATTATTTTACATTAAACTTAACTAAACTATCTAAAATTCATGAATTTAAATATGTAATTTTTTTATATAATGTAAAAAATTTTAAAATGTATTTCGAATGATTCAAAAAAATTTCAGAAAGGAAAAACGCTTTTATCACTGTGCACTTTGCTTTCTAAGAGTGGAAATCGTACAGGTGTATGAATTATAAATCCGTAGTTGGATACGTATGTGTAAATATTACTTTATACGTTTAATATTATTTTATACGTTTTTGAAAAATAAAAGAACCTGGGCATATTGTTCTGTACGCCGGTGGTTCCCAACCCCCGGTCCGTGGCTCAAATAGTATCAGGCAGCACAAGGAACATAAAATTAACTTCATTTTATTAATTGTGGTGTATTTATCACGGGTCCGTGCGACTTTTTATGGAAATCACTTTATATTCCATGTTAAATCACTTTATACACATTTTTGGTGTAACTGTATTTTATTCTAAAGAAAGACCTCCCCGATTGCTCGATTTAACTCCCTCGATTTCTTTTTGTGGGGTTATGTTATAGGCAGGGTTTATCAAACACCTGTTTCTGATATACCCTTTTTTAAGGAAAGGATACTATAGCAATCTTCACTGTTACACCGCAAATG